ATAACTAATGAAGGCAGGTACTATAGATGTTGTTTACTTTAAGATCTCTCCCCAAAACGCTTGGCTGTGTCCTGAAAGTGTTGAATGCATTTTCTCTGCTTAAAAATACATTTGCAAACAGTTTTTCAAGTGCTTGCACTGTATACATTCAGTGTTTTCTTTCAGAAGTGAGAGAGACTAAGCAGGATTCATAAAAAGTAGAAAAGAAAAGGGTGGTCCCCACAAGTGATGATCAAAAACTTGGTCCCCATTCCAGATGGAAACCAGTATGTGTGTGTGTCTGTGTGTTTGTGGTGAGGCTCACACTAATAGAAACTTGAAAGATTTCCAGCAGATATTTGATATGCATTCACACAGCAACAATTTGGTAACTTGATACCATTTGAGCCGCTGCTGATAATGCATCTATTTTTGGGTAAAGCCACATAATGAAACACAGCATGATGCTGTAGAGACTGACAAGATTAGTTTGCAAAAAGGCTTTATGTGTGGGGGTGGCCAATAAAAATAGAGACGTGATCGGTCAACAATGCTTCTCGTAACCTTCAGTCTATTCTGCAAATACACGTGCATGATTTTCTGTGCTATTTTTGTTTGTGTCCATCAGCAATTTGACTTTTCATCATCTCTTCTCTGTCAGCTTGTCTGTCACCGAGACCACTTTCGCCTGCCGCCTGTCAGTCTTGTCACTTGTTCGTATCATTGTGATTAACTGTGATTAACTGTATCTGTCTCTAAGTAAATGTGTCCTGAAGGAGGGGGTCATAGCTTGTCAATGATAATTTCATTTACACCAGTGAAACCACCATGGTTTGATTTCTGCTCGTTTTAGCACATACTAAAACATAAGTCCTGCTAAACCACAGGGGCTGTTTCAATAGATTATTAGCCACACTAGCATGCTAAAATGTTGTACAGACATTCATGGTTTGCAGAGAATGAATCCTTATGACTTTGGTGATCCCTGACTTTTATGCTCCTGTCCATCTAGTTGACCTTCCTTGTCACTATAACCATAATGTTATTACACACACTACAATTCAACAAATATCCTGAATAGCTCCTTCTTTTGGATACATGCAAATACTGTGTATACCAGTCAGCCTCTGACACACACACACACACACACACACACACACATGCATACCAGCAAAACACACTTGCCAAAGAACTCCACCTGCTCTTTCGAGTTCTTTCCAACCATTCTCCTTGTAGCCAGATCCTGCTGCTGTGTTGGCTGTGCTCTGCTCCAGTCAGTGAAAGAGAAGATGGGATTTTGTTCTGCTGCCCAGAAAGGCTTCGGGATCTGACATGGAAATCTCAGACAGGGAATACTGTGTAACATAGGAATACAGTGAGGGAATGGGGTGACCACACACACTCTTGCAGATGTACAGTATGTCGGCAGGAAGGTAAATGTGGTCACAGTACCCTGTGGGATCCAGGATATTGAAGATTTGTCTGTACAGGAGAGTAGATGGTGAAATGCAAAGAACAGAGAGAAAATGAGACCAATGTGTGAGAGTGTTAGTGCAAAGTTACAGGGAAAGAATGAGACCATGACAGAGTGTGTGTGTGTGGTCAAGTGTGTATGAGAGAGAAACCAGTATTGGCTGCAGTCTCTGACTTTGACCCACACAGGCTGCCAGTAAGCAGGCAGCTGACAGCCTGGCCAGTTGCCATGTGAACCCAACGCCTCGGCAACGTGCAGCCTGCCTCGTCGACACAGCAGCGTCGTGGAAACAGTTACCAGGCGCGTCTGGTTTACTGAGTCAACAGCAGCCACTGGTGGACAAATCCAGACATTCATTCATAAAATTCATGACCACATAAGTATTTCACATGAAGTTTGGTGGTTGTAGACATAGAGGTAAAAACTGCTAGTTCATGGAAATATTTTGCCCAAGTGATGAGACATGAATGAATCAGTAACTGTATCCCTTCACATGTGCAGACATAACACATTTTAGCCATCATGCACACATATTTCCACAATTCCCTGACTATACGTGTCTTTCTGATGCACCAGCAGATATATCCGCACATCCTCACTCCAGCTGAAACAACAGCGTCTCACACAGCCAGCAGGACATCCTCTGCTGTAACAGCCTATAGGGCAGAACAGGACAGAACAACCTTTACCACCAGGCATCCAGTCCAGAGACCCAAATCAATTTAATGCCCCAGTACTTTTGGATTAAAGGAGAGTTCACACAGTGAGTCTCTAACAAGCACACTGTCCAACAGAAGGGAAAAGTGTGTAATGTATCTAAAATTGTGTTTGTTATATCACACAAAGTAGTTCATCTAATCATAATGTAATAGAAAAACAGTAACACCCGACAAACTTGCTCTGCTAAATTGTAACTAGCCAAGCTTAGTGGAGTATCAGTAATTGTTATCTCTGCAGCCTCTGACTCTGGTGGAATTCACGTGATGTGGTTAAGCTAATGGTACCTTTAAATTATGTATTAAATGCATTTGATTCTACATTATAGCACATTATTAACATAATGCACAAGAGAGCTGACCTCAGCCTAAAAAGACATAAAAAAGATCATATGACTTATATAACTGTTTGGCTAAAAGCCTTTAAATTTGAAAATCCCTTTTCTCAACTTTACTGTCTCTTTGTTCAGTGTTTTCTATACATATTTGGATAGGATATTTAATAATATTTAATTGAAGGTTTGAATGGGCCAAACAGTAAGATAACATTACAGTGGGATGGCATAACAGTGCTTAACACCTTTTCTGTCTTCGGATCAGACCTTCGTATGGTGGTCATGAATCAGCAACCAGCCATGCAGACAGGCAGCATTGGAGGTAGTGATGTCATCACCAGGATGAGCTGAAGAACACAGTGCCAGTGTTTTCTTTGTGTCTGTGCATGCAAGACATTGCGCTACTAAGATTCTCACAGGCTTCGAGACTCAAATGTGTCAAAACTGCAGTTATTGAGACAATGCACAAACAGGAATATGAATGTTAGACACCAAGGAAGACACAAAGGAGACACACTCAATTACTTTTTTTTTCTGTGGCAGTGGAGTTTTGAGTGTGTGTGTGCCCTCCTTTGAGACCATGCATATATCCTGACCTATATATAAAGTCCTGTGCACATCCTATCCATCCCAGTGCTGTCATGACGGTTCCGCCCCCCTTACATCTGGTCTAGATTTGAGAGGCGCACGGCAGAGAGTGTGACTAGCAGCGTGACAACAAACGCGTGTGTTGGCGGAAGGAGGGGGGATCAACCCCATGATTTGAATCAGGGGTGCTTGTTTTGGTGTTGGGGAGGGGGGTGTACAAAGACGAGAGTGGCAACTGCGCCTCTCTGCAGCTGTGGGCCTACGTGAGCATCGGCAGGAACGCTCTCGCTCCTCATCTCACCCCCCTCCCTTACTCATTTTCTCTCTCTGTCTCATCTCTCACGGTCCACCCTTCCTTTGCTCATTTGCAGCTTCTAATAGACTTTTGACAATGCTCCCCCCTCGCCACCCTCCTTCTTCTTTAGCTCAAATCCTCTCTTTTTCTCTATCATAACTCCCTCACTTCTCTCCCCGCGTCATGTTCCCAAATGGAGGGGACCTTGACAGTGAGAGATGTGTCGTGTTCGGCCAGCCAACGGATATCTGAGATGACTGAAAGGAAAAGAAAGGAACGCAAAGATCGTCTTTCCCACACACACACACACACACACACACACACACACACACACACACACAGAAAGATACACACAGCCGATCTGGCCTGAAATGACCTAGAAGGGATATGTGTGTGTGTGTGTGTGTGTGTGTGTGTCAAGTAAAACAACTTTACTCATGTCATACGTACGCACAGCAGTAGCATGCATGCCAATGCACACAGTCATGTGACTACTCTAGTATCTCAAGACTGTGTGCAAACACAGGGCTTTAAGGCCAAGGTCAGAGGTGATACTATGCACAAGATTGAGCAGAATGAGACAAGGAGGAGGAGAAGGGAGGAATGAAGATGAGGAGGCAGAATGAATACAATGAAGAATTAACAGCTGATGGACGAAGGAGAGGAGAGGAATGAAGGACGAAATGAAGTACACAGAGTTTATACATTGTTGTGTGTGTTGTGTGAAAATGGGAGATGGTGATGCCAGAGGAGAGTAAATCATAACAGAGAGATAAAGGACTGAGCCGAATGGGCTGACTGTCCTTGTGCTCTTCAGCAGGTGCATGTTTTGGCAGTGGATGGGGCTGGAAGGCCCTGTTGTCGTGTCCATATAGCCTGAAGAGCAGCGCTGACCTCTGCTGGCTAAATATGGATGTGTGCCAGTGTCTATGTTAGCCAAATGATCATGTTTTCCTCTCTCTGTATTCATTTTCTGTACATTATACAAACTAATCTGTGGTTTAAGTTTCTACAAAACCAATGTATCTTTTGCTGAAAAATATATAATGAGCCACTCATTATACTTTCTGGCTACCGTATGCTTGTTTGGCTTTATAAACTGCACTATGAATACTGATTAAAGCGTTTTTTTGTTTAAATCTCTGAAATTCTGCAAGTTATTGATGATCAAAAGTTATTTCATTTTAGAAAAACGTACAGTGTACGAGTTTAGTTAACACATATTACATGTCAATTCAGAACCAAAACTTAAAACCACAAGTTGAGACTTACCTAGGATTTGGGAAGCTAAAGTAAATAACAGCCTATAACAATTCCTGGAATACATTAACTTGAAAAGTCAGAAGCTGAACTGAAAGCATATCTGATCCGATAAAGTGCTGACAGAGTAAAAACACTGCACTCTCCAGCTGAAAGTGCAGTACGTTCATATGTTTGTGTGAAATGTATGAGCATCAGCTGTCTCTAAGGAAGACTCAACAGGATCCGTCAGTGTTATTTAGGCTTGGGTTAGGGCCACTTCCCTAAAACATACATTTGTCCATATTAGGAGTGCTAACACAGGTAATCACTGATGGGAGACCTTCTTGCAAGAGTCCAGTAGCAGCACAGTGTTGTTATGTATACATTTATTTTAAAAAGCCTGAAGAACAAAAGTAACATTTTTACTGTGATGAGGTCATTCTAGATCAAGATGGTCCTACATGATAAAATACAAACGTTTACCTGATTGAAAAGTGAAACAGAAATTTATTTCAGTGAAGACAAAAACACACAATTCACTGAATCACTTCTTATAAAAAAATCTTCATTTCCTAAACACACATTCATAACAATCATAATTTTGGCAATCTCATCTGAGTTAATAAAATCCATCATCAGCTCTCATACGCTGTGAATAACAGGAACACGTGTCCCAAATCCTTACATTTGTCACTATAATATAAAGTTTGATTGATACTGCAGATTTCAGATTAGTGCCTGTCCCTGAGCACACAGTGATTCCATGACTGGGAATAGATAGTGCCGTGCTTGAAAGCTGAAACAATTTACACCTATTTATTGGCACTTCATGGTTAAAATCCTTTGAACACCCGATGACGTACAGGTGAGGTCTTGTTAAAATTTATCAAGAGCCACTGAACCAAGGCAGAGACAGTGATGTGATTATTAGATTATGAAGTTCAATCAGTGAGCGGTCAGAGGAAGACACGAGGAATGGTGTTTTCATCATCATCGTAGGCAGATCCCTGGAGTCTGCCACCATTGTAGAAGTGGCGGAGGTTCAGTTTGGCGGGCGCCGAGACATGCCACATGACCACACCTGTGGGGTTCACTGACACCACAAAGTCAGTGGAGTCTTTCAGTGTCATTGTCTTGTCAGTGAAGACATCAAAGATCTGAGGGAGAGTGAAAGAGAAAATGTTTTCTTCTGCCATATTCATCCAAATTGGGTTGGCAAACTTCAAAATAATGGAGTGGATCAACACTATGCTGTAAGTGCAACAAATTACTTCAGTAATCCATTAATATATTTTATTTGTTATTATTATAACTTATTATTATGGATATTATGGATAACAGAAATAGTGCTCGTTGACTAGGACAGGATTGACGTTGAGAGAGAGTGAAATTATCAACGAATGGACAACTTTTGAACCATTTGTGCAATTGGCCTACACGTCTGAATTTAATGTCTCCATATTGAGCCGACAGAAGTAGACCAGAGATGATATATCGCCTGCCTGAGTCTTAAAGACATACCCTGGGCGCCCGGTTAGCTCAGTCGGTAGAGCTGGCGACCCATATACGCAGCGGCCCCTCTCTCTGCCCCCTTTCCTGTCTCTGTCAAATAAAGGCATAAAAGGCCAAAAAAATAATACTTTAAGAAAGACATACCCTGTAGCTGCCAGTTGCGTAATTGAGTTTGCTGAGGGAAGTCTTGTAGCGGTAGGGCATGTCAGTGCGACGACTGAAGAATACCAGTGCGCTGGCATTGTTTGACAGGGGACGGATGAACACTTGAATGCCACTCTTCTCCTGGAGGAAAGAAAAGAACGAGGAAATGTGAATGACTCAGAATGAGAAGACGTGTATATTTGAACAGCAGAGGATAGAAAAAAAATTAAACACAAAAGTCAGAACTCAGTGTAATTGCAGACTGCAACCAATTTGACACAAAATGCCGTATCTTAAGCCAGTGTTTGGTTTGTCTGTTCTGAGCAAATGCACAAAAAAATTTTTGTATCTTCAGCGCTTGCAAGAGGTGGTAAGATCCATGAAAAAGTGCATCACCTTCACAATGCGTCTTCCCTGGATGCCCATGGGGTCCTGGTTGATGCTGATGATCATTTTGTTCTGCAGGATGCTGCGGGCCCCGCTGCTGATGGTGCGTAAATCGTTGGACATGAAAAGAGGAGCGGCCATAATCGCCCACAGAGCCATCTGAGACTGGGACTGGTCCATGCTGAGGCCGAAGTCTCCAATAACCAGCTGTGGAGATCATAATCACACAATCAAGGAAGATTAAAGTGAGATTTCAAAGTCAAGAGGTAGAAAAAAAGAAAGGGGAAAGGAAGGTCTGTATTTTCTGTATTTTGGCTTTCAGAATGTGTTCCAGTATTATTTGAGGGTCCTCACAAGGAATGGTAAGTCAGTTTAGTCTCTAGTAAATGTCCAAATTATACTTTTATTTCCTAAACTTAATTATTTTATAATTGATGTTGGTTTGCTTTTCTGTCAGTAATGAGGTCCTAGGCCATATGCTAAAGGCTTATGTGCCGAAAAATACTTCAGTAAAGTAAAGAGTAAATAAGTAAAAGTAGCAAAAAAATATAATGTCAGTTATTATATTGGTTAAACTGACCATATCAGGGTCGTTCCACCTTCCAGGTCCAGCTGCAGGTATCAGGACATCCTGGTTCTCAAAGAACCAGTCAATAATGTTCAGGACACTGTCCCAAGAGTCCTGGATGTCGCCATAGTTACGCCACAGGTTGCAGATCTTGCCCAGTTGAGTGTAGTTTACCTGAAAACATAAATCAGTTTCACATGGTTAAAGACTGTGGATTTACAGTATTAGAACATGATCCTAACAACAGAGTTCTTCCCTGCCACAGTGAGACTCTTGGCC